TAAAACCAATTATTAGTTTTTGTTACATGCCTAGCTCTCTTGCTTTCTTTTCATCATTCTCAAAATCCCTCTTTTCCAAATCAACTGACTAAAAGCAACCACAAATTGAGAGGCAGTATCATGACAAATTTAAGTTTGGCATTCAAGGTTACTCAACTAGTACTAAGAATTATTAAGAGAACTCCTAATTTGCAGTAAAAGATAAATTATCTACAACTGGAATGAAATAACCCCAAATTGAGCAGAATTAATATAGAGGATTCATATAGCAACCCCAACTAGTTTTGAATTGCAGCACAAATGATTGATCGATTGAGTCAAAGGTTACCCCATAAAAAAAATCATTTCTTTGCATATTTGATCCCTAGTCCATACAAAGTCTAAGCATATTGACTGCTACTCCCTCTTCTCTCACCAAGCGAATAACAAAAATGATATAAAGATAACTAAAAAAAATCTTTTTGAGAAAGACCAAAGATAACTAAATTTATTGTTCAAAGATTTATCATTTATCATCTATAAACATCCAATAACATTCATTAAAATAGACAGTATCTGCTATAAATATATAAAAGGCACAATAAAACGAAATAATACCAGCATTTTTACGATCACAAGGAGTTCCAGACTTAGCGAGGACTTCGAGATCAACTAGGCTGAGGGACATGAGTCCTAGCGTAAGGCCAGACATTAAACCAGCGAAACATACCAGAAAAATAATTATCAAAATATGTATGAAGAACCCTGTCTCGCAACATCTATACTCCACCGCCATTCACCGTACGTCTTCTCCACAAAAGAAACCTAAAACCTAACTCTTCCAAATATGTAACCCTAGAAAGTCTCAAAAAAACCTAAACGATTTAGTGTTAGAGAAACACAATCCAGTACTGTAGCACCTCCATTCTCGAAAATTTAAAGCTTCCAAAATAACTTCACACCAAAAATGCGTTCCGACAAAAGGAGCAGAAGAAAACAGTGAAACTGCTTAGCTCACAATTTCCTCGTTTTATTATAGATAGAGAGAAGAATTGAAACCGTAGTTTGCAGATACTGAGGGTATATAGTATATACTCTTATCCTTTTTTAAATATAATGCTTTTGGTATATAGATTTGTGTATTTATAGAAACAAGCAGGATTCGCCGGCGACGGAAAATTACGGTAACTAGGGTGTGGATTGGTGTTCCCGTGTTCGTCGGAGGTGAAGTAATGTGAAGGTGACGTGTGAGCTTGTGAAGAGATGGTGATGGTGATACAGCTGATATAGTTGTGTCCTTGTCATTGTATTATGATGGAAATAAAAGGCTTTTATTCTGATTTTGCTCTTTTTCTTTCTTTGTTGGTTTATGACTTCTCCTTGACAATTTTCTACTTATAACATAGATGAAGTTGTTTGACTGGATATGAAGTTTAAGAAAAAATGAATATTTTTATAATTTGTGGTTCTAAATAAATAAATAAAAAAGTTTAGAGTATTTGTGTGGTTATAAAATGTTAAATTAGAAGTTTAAATTAAATTATTTATAAATTTAGAAAGGGGTCATTTATTTTTAAACGAACCAAAAAAAAAATAGATTCACATAAATTGGAACGGATGTAATATCTTTTTACACCTATGTTTTCCTTTTTCTTCAAAATCTCCCAAAGTTATTCCAAGAATATATTCCTTCACACATTCAAGAAATTAGATTACAAACAATTGGGAAAATACCGACTTTTCCTACTTATCTTTTAAAAATACTCCTATTGAAGTACGAATTCGACACTGGACAGGCTGTTCATGGTTTGACAAAAAATTGATCCAAACCGAAAATCGATCCAAATCGAAAATCGAGCCAAACCTATTAAGTAAATCGATATTTTTTTTGATTTGGATTGGTTTTGGTTTTAAATTTTAAAAACCGGTAATATTTGGTTTGGTTTTGGTTCTATTAGAAAAAACCAAAAAATAAACCGAACCAAACCGATAAATTATATATATAATTTAATGACTATTTATATAAAGTATCATATCTTTTTGTAAATAATTTTAAATATTTTCTGTATTTTAATTATTATATAAAGATTTTGATTTATACTACTTATATCTTAAAAGATTGCCTAAGCCCAAAGTAATAGGAATTGGCCAATTTCTTTTCCTTAAGAGACTCAAATTCTCTAACCCTATGTATCTACTTTTGCCTAACAGAAGAGTTACAAAAAAATCTATCACAAAAGTCAAAAAAAAAAAGCTACTCAAATTGCAAGACAACGGGCTAAAGTTTGAAAAGATTTTTATGAACGTAAGATTCTAATTTGTTACAATGAATACTTTATCATTGATTCAACAAAGTGATGTTTGTACTTTGGAACCTTTATTTTGGTTTGTTCTTTTGATTCTATCATGTACTACAACTTAGTTCACCAGGTACAGTTTTCTATCTTATATTATTGCTATAATTTTAATACTCTGCTTTATATTATATGCTACNATATTGCTACAATTTTAATACTCTACTTTACATTATATGCTACAGTTTTAAATATAAAATACTTAAAAGAATTACCACCGTAGGTATTTGAATTTATGCTCTAGTAGTACTTAAAATATTGTTGTATAGTGTCGTTTTACTATTATCGACTTATCATTAGCATATTAAGAATCGAAAACCCGAACCAAACGGAACCAAACCAACAACAACCAAACCGATGGTTTGTATTTAATTTGGTTTGGTTTTGGTTTTAAAATTTTAAAAACCGATTAAATTGATTTAGTTTTGGTTTTAATAAAAAGCCGACCAAACCGAACCGTGAACACCCCTAGACATAGGGTGTTCATAAAAAAACGAAAACCGAAAAATCAATACTTTTTTGTTTTGTTTTAATTTCGTTTTGGTTTTGAATTTTAAAAATCTATCAAATTTGATTTAGTTTTGATAAAAAAATAACTGCAAAAATTGAACCAAAACGACTATTGAAATAATTATTTAAAATTTATTATTATACCTATATATATTTATAATTTAATACAAAATTTCTAAAATTTTATGGTACATGTTAATCGCTATTATAACAATCTAGTTCTTTGCCTTTAAATTTTAGTTTGATTGGTAATTTTCTTTTGCTAAATACAATAATATATTTCAGGTTAAAAATAATTTATTTTTAATTGAGTTCTTAAATTATTTATCACTCTTTGATTCAGTTAGCATCAATATATTTTTGTAAATGATGGATTTCTCAACGAGCAATTGGTTTGATAGTGTTACATTGAAAATGTAGTCGTCGGAATATGTGTTTGGTAATGTGTGTATCATATTTAAGAAAAATCCGATAAATAAGCGAAAACCCCAAAAAAATGACAAAAAATGAATCGATAAAAAATCGACTTAATTGGTTTGATTTGGTTTCAATATTTAAAAAATTGACTTACTTAGTTTGATTTTTTTTTAGAAAAAAAACTATCTAACCCGAACCATAAAACACCCCTAAGTGGACTACTTTCTTTTTTTGGCTTAAAATGGATATATTTTATATATCTGGATTGAAACTGGTGATTGAATTTTTCTCTTGCTCGCTTATTGGTCTATTAGATTCACTTTATTTACTTAATTACCTGTTCGATTCTTTTATTCTTGCTTGACCAAAACTTGTTTTGATTTGGTAAAGCAAAAGAGAACACGTATCGATCTGTTTGCTTTGGTTGCGGTAAATTACTTTTTAAATATTTACATAAAAATAACTAAAGAATTTAGGACTGTGTAATATAGTCATTGTATTCTTATAAGAGAAATATGTGCCCGAGATTGTTACGTTGGAAATTTAGTAGTCAGAGAATCGTGATCATAGGTTGATTTTCTGTTTCGAGTAGAGACGGAATTTATTTTGTTCTCCATGTAACCAAACATAAATTATTACAGTAAATAAACCTCATCCCCAACCACCACCACCCCAAAAAAAATTCTATTACTTTCTTTATAAAAAAATATTATATATGAAGTGGGAAAGGAAATTCTCACGATAAGATGAAAGTTGAAGTAATCAATCAACTACACTATTAAAACTTTGTTCGAAACATAATATGATCACATATTGATAATAAAAAAATAGAATAAAAGTAACAAAATCATATATACTCGTAAAGTTATCAAGAATTCTATATCACTTGCTATTAATAGATTTGACCCGTTTGGCCATAAGAAGTTTTTCAATTTTTTGGGAATTTTATTTTATTTTTTTCGGAATCAGTGTTTGTTCAATGAAATTTACAAACTTTACTTGAAGATGAATTTCGAAACTTTTTAAAAAATTTAAAAATTTTAAAAATTTATTTTTCAAATTTTTCACTTCAACTCACTCACAAAAGTTAAAAAATGTCGAAACACAACTCTAATTTTTAAATATTATTTTTACTTAAAAATATTTTTTTTACTTTTATCTAAAATTTCACAATTCTTATGTTCAAACCAGTGCTTTAAAAGGCGTGGGCGTAAGGTGGGGCGTTTTACATATACCTCAGCGGGGCGTAAGCCCCGAGGTGCGGGGCGTACACCCCATAGATATTTAATTTTTAATATTTTATAAAATAATATAATGACAATTAATATTTATAAACAGGTAAAATTGCATAAAAATTGAAGAAAACTATATATATATATATATATATATGTGTGTGTGTGTGTGTGTGTGCTCCATCCCCACAAAAAATTAATCAAAACAATCTATTATACGTTACTTACAAGCACAAGTAATTTGAGTCTAAAAGAATAAAATTTTCTATATGGAGGGAAAAAAAGGATGATTAACCTGCAATTTGAACTTTGAATTTGGTGCTATGAAGAAAAATGTAGTTCTCTTTGTATTTGTAAAAAAAATTAAATATCCGTTGCTTTTGGGAGATATTAGTAGACTAGCGGACAAGATAAAAATTTGGGAAAACAATGAATTAGGGCTTAAATCAATAAAAAAAAGGTCCTTACTTTTAAATTTAATACTTTTGAGCTCCTTTTTAAACCTTTTGAGTAATTACCAAACTCACTTTTGAGAATTTAGGTTTTATATAAAGGATTAATTCAACAAATTTTGTTTTAATTTGAAAAAATCTTTAGGGCTTACTCCTTACTAAAAAAAATGCACCACGAACGCTCGGGCGTACGCCCCTAACGTCCGGGCGTATGCTCCAAATTGCGGGGCGTACGTCTCTTGAGACTTTCGCTCACACCATCGTTCCGGGACGTTTTTGGTACGTCTCGCCCCGGGGCTCGCCCCATAGATCCTTTTAAAATAGAGGTTCAAACGTCCACTTAGATTCACCCTAAAGAAAAAAATAAAAAAAACGTTATGGTGGAGTATGATATAATTAATATTATTCCTGTTGCTGTCCCATTTCACACGAGTTTCGATTAATAAATCGTTTTGCCTTTAGCCAAATCCTTAAATTCGACTTTCGTAATGGTCTCGTGGTCACGATCCTCCGGCATGTATGACAGCTGCGACCCAACTAAGTAAAGTGCATAATATTGTAATTAAAAAATACATTATAAAATATTTAAACTGATTTTATTTTATTAATTGACAATTAAGTTAAGCATGTTTAACAATGTAGTGCACGCAAGTAATGCAGAAAATGTGGGTCCACGTAATGTCTGTTACGATTTGGTACATACGACTAGTCAAGTTGCAAGTTCTGAACATGGAACATGGTCCATTTAATGATAATTCTAAACAGACAACAAATGCTGGCCTGAAACCCATTGCCTTGTTTGACAACTTACCAAAATTTAAATTAAATGGGATTAAATTTTACCTAATTTTATAATTCTGGTTGGTAAGTTTTGATCTCAAGATCAACTTTGATAAAAGAAAGATTAATCTATCTGTTCTTTTCTACTTGCCTGGTATGGATTTTGTAATCTTTTATGAAAACATTAATTAAAGGTATTTATTTTACTATATTAGTAATAAATCCCTAGAACAACATAGATGATAAATAATCTAACTACTGGTACTCCAATAAGTTTCTGAAGTAATTACTTAATGATAATGGTAAAATAAATTATCTCTGGCATTACTAGAATGAACAAGTAAAAGAAAAAAAAATTTAATACTTTAAACAAGTAAAAAAGAACTGATTGAGCATTAAAGTATTTTAATCATGTTCTCAAAAGATGTTTTCCTTAATACATAGTACTACTTGGTCTTATTATTTTTATATAAATATGCATCTACTTCCATAAAAAAATTATTTAATTTAATGAGATCCTGATTGATATATACCCAAAACATATAGATACATTATTAAAACCAGTTTGAACTAAATCTGCATCAGTTTACAAATAAAATTGTAGAATATGATT